CCCAGACTCATCCTCTTGTTCCTCCCACGCTCTTCTGGGGAGCTAAGAAAATGTTTATCTCTCTGAGCCTGGCCTTCATAATTCCATTCCATCACATGTGTCAGGCACCAACATTTTGTTTAGCAACTTATCTGGCATAATGTCATTGCAAGGAGGAGCAGAAAGTGTGGGAAGATAGAAAGTACTGATCTTCCTTTTTTATTATTGTAGCTTACATTGATTTTATGATATGCTATTTAAGTCACATTTTTTACTCTGTATTATTACTGGAGAGGATAAAATGAAATGAATCTTAGGGACTGGTCTGAGACTGTAACACAGTTTATTGACTGCTTGATCAATGGCGTCTATTGGAATGATAGTCACAAATACCGTTGCCTTCCTTTACACTTTTCCTTGCAATAACAAACCTGTAGACTAGGCTGAGACAGTGTTTGGCCCAAAATTGCCAGGTGAACCACCAAAGCTAAGGGTAGTCATGAACATGAATCTCCCTTGTTCTTTAACCTCTTTAACCACTACACCACTGCTTTCTGCACCCTTCTTTGATTTTGAACTCAAAATAAACAAGTCCTACTGAATGTAATGGGAAGGAATTAAGCATCCCTTTATATATGTCTTAGACATGAAATCACTGAGGCCTAAAAATGTCATTCCCATTCTTTGGTTTACATGTAGTAAGAATGCCAAAGTGATCTTGATTAGTTGATGGCTTAGTTTTCCATCCACAGCTAAATCTTGTGTCTCCGTCTACACGAGGATTTACTTTTTCATATCATCCACCCAGTTTTGACCTGCTTGGCAAAGTTGCCACATCATGTGCTCAGTAAAACAAATTGGTCCTGTAAGTACACAGCATTCTTTCAATGAATATGCTCCAGTCCCTTGGTTTGGCATCCCAGAACTGTCAATGCCTCATTCAAGAAGACAGGCGTCACCAAGAAATATGTGCATAGGAGGTAGTGGCCTTGAAGATTTAATAGTGTTCTTTTATACAGCTACTTTTGTCTGTTGACACAAGGGAAATTTCCAGCTGGCTCAACTACTGAATGGAACTGAACTACTAAAAAAAAAATAACCCAAAACAAAAATGTAATGATATTTATACCCCTCCAGCTGCCAGCAAGCCTGCATGCGTCATGAGTCACTCCAGATGTGGATATAAAATAGAGCCCTTCTGTGCAAATGAATTCCCTGACCCCAATGAAAATTAGTCTAGAGTGAGGTGCTGCTACTTCACCCTGTTATACTCATCACATTTTGCAAAAGGAGGAGAGAGGAGAAAAATTAACCAGCTGTCCCCTGGCATACAAGAAATCAGATAGAAGCAGAGAAATCTCTGCTTTGGAGAACTTGCGATGCACCGGAAGATACTGTTTCTGCTCTTGCTGTATTATAATGCTCATGGAATTGTGCCCTCCAGGTGGAACCGAGGTAAGAGTTATAAATATAAACATGCTATTGCTTAAAAGCAGGCATACAACGCTGATACTTTATCCAACAAGTTTTTTTTTTCCAAATCACGTCTACTGCTTTTGTAGATTCTTTTCTTCTTGTTTATTGCTTTAGCCATTCAATCGGATACTTTTCCTTTCTTTATCTACTGCAAATAAATACATAAAGGAATAAGAGAGCAATGAATGTATTTTTTTCCCTCAATTGCTTTGGAAGTTGAGGATTAAAACGATTGGGTGTGTACTGCAATTTTATGCCAAACTTTTTGATGGAAGTTCAGGGCTGGTTCACATAGACAGAAGATCTGTTGGCTGCGGAACTGAATTCACTCCTTGCTGAGCCTAAACGCATTGAAGAGCTCTCTGTTTAAACTGGGTTGCTTTTAAGCACATTGCATTGAAATGTGTATGGCAGTTCTGCTTTCATTTATAATTTGAATAATAAATGAGGAATGTATCTCTGGGTATGGGTTTATATCTGTATATATACAGATGCAGATGCAGATGAGATGAGATGAGATGAGATGAGATGAGATGAGATGAGATGAGAT